TGTTTTGTTTATTTATTTTTCGTAGAGAAATATAGTTCTCTGTATGGACGAATGTGGAAACTCGTGGCTGCATAGCCTAAGGATTGAAAGATGGTAAACCATTGTGGCAGTAGAAAAATATATGAGCCTTTCAGTGACGAACAAACTTTATTCCTCTAGATAAACCACATCAACCTTCTTTCTTTAGATGATTTTGAAATTAGGCATCCTATATCAAGTAGGCCTAAAGTGGTTGACTGTTGGTTTTGATAGTAGACATCTGTCAACAACTATTTCGTTTGAGATATTGCACACTTTTAAAGCAATATCTTATGAGATCTACCTAACATACAACCATAAGTTTCTAGCTTTAGTGTAGGCACAACACATACAGACGCCTTCAGACACACATTCATATGCATGCATATAAATTGTTTTGGATTTGTCGACCAGCTTATTTTATCCTAAGATCATCTATTTAATATTTTGAAGTCTTTTCGATCCACTTTTTTGCCATATAGAAGGCACTCTTTCATTTTTTGCTGTTAATTAAAAAGAGTAGCAGCTTTTTGAGCAACTGCTTGTGTATTTTTTGAAGTATTAGTTTATTGTATAAAATCTAGCAAGCATTTTGTATTTGCTAGAAACATTTGAGTCTTGGCCATCTTGGAAATGGATATCTGTTAATCAGTACTGAGTACATAAAATGCTTTAAAAATTAAACATTATGGAAATTCTTACATGTGCGTTTTGAAGAAAGATTTCAGATGGAAAAAATAATGCTTAAAAGAGTTAACATTATGGAGGATGGAGGTTCTTTTCTTTTTTTTTTTTCTTTTGCTTCTGTAGATTTTAAGGAATAGTTTTGGATGGAAAGATAAATTTTATGTATTTATTTCTCACTAATCAGCCTGTCATTTTGCGTATCAAATGTCAGGATGGTGTCAAGATCATGCAAATCTTAACAAATACATATTTGTAATTTTTTTGTTAAAAATTTACAATAGAAAAGTTCTATGATGTGCATCTTTGTATCAGGTGTCTCATCTGTAATGGATTGTGAAGGTCAACTTTCCCAACTTGAAAGCATTTTAGATTCAAAGGTAAAATTTATATATTGTGCGGTTTGAATTGCTATGCTTGAATGATTTTACCTTTTATTGTGAGATACTTGTCATACACGTACATATATTCATGGTTCATGGTGCATTTGTGATTCAGATATATACAGTGGATGATAGAAGTCAAACCTATCATTTCGTAACAGCTAAAGAAGTCAATCGGTACTTTGATCAGAAGTTGGTTTTTCATGATGACCTGAAAATACAACTGGGATCACTATTGGTCGAGGTTTCTCTATTCTTTCTTTCTATTTTTTCCTGTCATTAGTTATCATTTGTCTTAGTTTATTTCTTTAAAGTTTTCCTTTTTAACAGCTGAGTGCTTCACTGGCTCATCTACAAGACTCACGATCATGCCAATTCAGGGATGCTGAAGATATTCTTAACAAATTAAAAAAGGATTGTTCGAGTTGGCATGGAAAAATCTGCCATTGTCTTGATGATCTTGGTCTAATTTGTGCCACCCAGGTATTACAATATGTTAAGCTTGTTCTCCTTCTCATTTCTCCATTTTAAGCTTTATTTCATCAAAATATTGTTGGCAATAGAGGGTAGCTCCAGTTATAGAAGTCGAAGTGAAGAAGAAGACTATAACATGCTACCAGCCTGATATCGACTCTTTGTGTCACTGGGGGGAAAAGAATCATTTGATGCATGCATTATAAGTTTTGGGTATTAATCGATTTTCCATTTTCAGGCTAATTTCGGTTTGTAATTCAAGATGAATGATGCCAGTCATTTATGGGATGACCCATTGTGAATTTTCGTGAAGCCTAATTCAGGAACTGTTCTAATAGGATATTTCTATATTTGTGAGTGTATACGTGCAAATACTAAACAACCTATATGAACCTGTAACTATTAATTTTGTTGTTTACTAGGCTCATTAGCCTTTATATAATACAGATACAGTGGTAGCTTGTATTTGTCTCTACAGGTGTGGTATGGTAGCCTTGTTTCTCCATGTTTGTGTGTGTTGTCTTAGTTACGACTAACCTATATCAAGTAATAAATCATACCTTCATTAAATAACAGAACGCATAGGTCTCTCATGTTACCTTACCTTGTGTATGACAGCTTTGTTTCTTCATGCATTTGCAGGTTGTTTAAGTTACAGCTAAGTCTCTCATATTACCACATCTCTTAAATTATAGCAATATTGCATCTCTACATGCTTTCAGATATAGACACAAAGCAAGTGCAGATGCATGTCTTCGAACAACGTTCTCTCCGTTTTGCTCTTGAATCACACACCTATGCTCAATTTAAATAGCTTTCTAGAAAGTCCACCGCAACTGCTATATTTTACTTCCGTACTAGCTTATAACAGTAATAATTGATGATCCAAAAACATCTTTTATAGTATTTGTTTTTTTAATTGTTTATTTGTTACCGATCTTTCTTTCGTCTTTGTACTTAAAGATAACAAGAGGACAATTTTTTGGTCCATTGCAGATATTCTTTGCCCATGAATATTTGGTCTTTCTCTTGTTTCATCAATATATTTATGTTGTACATTTGGTGTTTTCCAATGAACTGCTTTTGCACTCCTCTCTGCCTCCCTTGCAAACACACTTTGAACATCCTTTTCCATTTTACTTGCATGGTGGTGCATTATGTTCTTCCTTTGTTTTCAGGCTGCTAAGGTCTACCCAGAATCTGTTCAGCTTCCATGTCCTACAAAAAGCGGCAATTTTTTTGCAGAAAGTGTTTCTTTGTGCAAATATTTCCTGGAGAAGGTGATGCATGCGATTGAAGATCGTTTGACACAGGGTATTCTTATCGCTTCCTGATTCTTCAAAATTCATATATTTTCTTGATTTGATTAATGTGCTTATAGTTTTATGGGAGCTACATTAATGTATTTTTGGATAATTATATTACCAGTGGGGATTTGGTTTCCTATTAACATCACTTAGTCTGTGTACTCGTGCAGTTTTTCATCATAGCCTCCAAATATACTATATTGAATGTGTAGCTTTTCTTTATAGCTTCCCAATATCTAATACTGGTGTGATGGTGTCATAACATGCCAACTTGTACTTCATTTATGGCCTCATCTATACTTTCTAAATGACCAGACATGATGACCTGCATTTTAAAATCCACTTTTCTCACAAGTATTATACATTAAACTACTAATGTTTTTACCTCTGTTTCAGTTTCATTAATAAACCTGTATATTTTGTTGGATAGTTGAACTTCATCTTGCTACACGGGCAAAAGACTTGGTTGCCATTGATTAGTGACTATATGTTTGATGGCAAATGTCATGTGTCATTTGAGTAAGTGAGAGGAAAGGAAGTTTTTTCAAATTTCAAACTGCTGCCTTGTTTTGTAGTGGGATTTGTTGGAGTACCAATTGGTTTAGACCTTAATATGCTAGTTTCCATAAATAAATCAATGGCATACTTTAGTTGAGGTAAGTGATACCTTGAGAAGATTGGGATACTTCTATTCCTAGAAAATACCTTAAAAATACCCAAATCCTTCATATGAGAGCTCTAATATTGCTTCAAAGCAATAATACCTTGATGATCATCACTAATCACCACAATATTATCAACATAGACAACAAGAATGATAGTTCCAGTAGAAGAGTGTCTTACAATGATGAAGTGATTAGAAGCACTTCTCTTATCAATATCAAACAACAACAATAGTAAGCTTATGAAACCACGTTTGTGGATATTGCTTCAATCTCATAAGCTGGTGGTTGAATCATGTATGCTCCTTTGTGAAGTCATTGTGCAAGGATGCATTTTTAATTTCAAGTTTATACAGAGATCAATGCTTAACGACAACAACTGATAAATGATCTGAATAGAATGTAATCGAGCAACTGAAGAAAAAGTCTCAAAGCAACCAACTTTGAAGGTCAAATTATACCCTTTGGCAACCAACAAGCCTTCAACCTTTCTACCTACACATCTAGATGACATTTCATTACATGAACCCGACCAACAATTTGCTTTCCATGAGGCAAAATGTACTCAATCCCCATCTTTCATTCTGAAACAAAGCAACATCTCTTAATCCATAAGATAGATTATCATTGATTTATTTGCAAAATAAAAACGCTCATATATGAGAAAGCCACAATTTGGAAACTTGCCCACCGATCATCTAAAATGGAGGTTTAAAACAAAAATTTCCAGATGTTTAAAAATCTAAAATTCAACTTGTTAACCAATCCCTTTTCAAAACTTTGGGTTTTAAAATTTCAAAAACCACATTTCTTGTAAACTTCTTTTCTCTCCCCCTCTTTTTTGGAAATCTACTTTATAATTCTACCTTTCAAAAAAGATCAGGGGATTTATTTGTATCCAAACTCAATTTCGTCCTTGTGATCTCAAAACTTCAAAATGTATGGCTTTAGAAGTTTTCCGGTCTTACCCACACAGGTAACCTGGATGTTGAGACGTTCCAATATGGATCCCACAACTTTGGGTTTGATTCGGGGCTAGGTTATAAAAAAAAAGGGTCTTTGTTACAAAACAAGCTTTAAAAGTTTAATGGTCTAGAAGTCAACCCCAAAATTTTTTATCATAACACCCAATTACGCATCCTTTGTTTTGAAACTAGGATACTTTTGATGAGGGTATGTGGATGAAAGAAAAAAAATTCAAAAATGAGGGGTTAAGGTGCAAGTTTGCACGACAAATCAACGAAAGTCACCTTTGTTCATGTCAAAGTCGTCTCTCGCTTATGAAATTCGACTTTCACGACTGGAAAGTTAGTTTTGTTATGGGTTGTTAAGAACTCGCAGCTGCTTTCCCAAGGCTTTCTAGCCGATTTTGGCTTTCATCTCTCCTCTAAGAGGGTGATTTTTCACCCTCTCATTCTCTAACTTAAATTTCAAATCTCTAATGCCTATTTAAGGTGTTTCCAACTCCAATTTCATCTCCATCCTTGATTACAAAACCTTAGCTCTCAATCCCCCCTAATTCCTCAAAACCCTTATCAATCATGTCGACTCGAAGTGTTGTTGTTAGTAAGAAATGAAAGACCTCCGCTGCCAGTGCTAGGTCCTCTCAACCTTCGGAGCAAACCCAACCGCAACACTTTGTTCGAATGAGTTCTCGAGATAGACACAAGGCCTTTGAGAAGAGGCCCGTCGCGTCAGGTCGCACTGTCAATTTCAAATTTCTCGGTTGCACTCATGAGGTATTTAGCTACCTCAATTATCTACGTTGAATTCCCTTCACTGAAATAAACAGATTGGTGTATCCGTTTGTGGTGCACGAATTTTTTGCCAACTTGAGGTCCGCATTCTAGACGTTCACCATTTGTGTTGGCGTAACATTGAACTCTTTGTTGATGACATCACTCAAATCACTCATATTCCTAACTCCGGCGTTGACGTGTTCAACGACATGATTGACAACTGCGATTTCAAGACCGAGACTTTGGGCTTCAATGCTGATTCTGATCATGTTCTCGTTCTGACTAAAGCTAATGAGAAGACCTGTGAAGAAAAGAATTCGACTAATCTCAACGATAGTGCTCGTTTCATGGTTGGTTTTGTCACTGCAATGATCTGCCCAAAAATAGCAATCGGTCGGAGATACCTCACCCCAATCGTCTCGTTATCTTCCTTCTCATTGCCCACATTAAGGTGAATTTCCCTAAGTTACTTCTCGACGTTATGTTCATCGTTGAGGGTGGTGCTTACTCTATTCCCTTCGGCATGTTGATCACCGTCGTCCTTGAGGACCAAAAGGTTGATCTCACGACCTTCAAATCTGTCATTCCTTCCTTTAAGATCAACTATCAGACTATTCACTTGATGTAGACTGCCTGAGCTAAACAACTCAAAGAAGTTGCTGCTGTTGCTGCTGCTCATCCTCTCCTGCTTTAGTTCCTGCTCCAGACTTTTATTATCGATTCATCGTTCCTGGTGCGCCTATGAGTCAGTACACTTTCTTCGACTTTTTTGAAGACACTTTGGCGCGGATGAAGAAGTATTGTAATTTGTAGGGCTAATGATTAGATGTTGATACTGCTTTCAGGATCTACTGATCCTAAGGTGATTCTTAGATCACTTAGGAGTTTATGGCGTCGATGGCTACTGTTACTAATGCTCAAGCCGAGATGGCTGTTGGTTTCATTGCAGATTTTAAGACTCTGGTTGATATGAGGGATCACGACGCCTCTTCTCGGGATAAAGAACCCGCTACTGCTGCTAACGATGCTAAGAAAGAGGAGGAAGAAGGCTAGATCATCATCATTCTGACTAGTCTAGCTAGGTCATCATGCCTAAACTTAACTAGGGGTTCCTTTTGTTTTTTTGTCATGTCTGTTTTTAACTTAGGCAACTTGTCTCCTTTTTTGGTCATGTCGGCTCTCTAGGTCATATGTAAAGAGGGAGACTAACCTTCATGTTATGAATGCAAACTTTGTTTTCCTATATTTTGCACTTACATGATATGGATGTGAGACTTTAGTCTCAAATTTGATATTGTTGAAATATGCACTAGAGTTGCGTGAGACAAACATAGGAATTTTGGGAATATGCGCTATTGGCAGTTTGTATGAGCATTAAACAAATTTAGCTCATACCTTCGTCTAGTGACTGATGATTTCGTAGGAGTGGATTAGTTGTTGAGAGAATATGTCGATATGAATGAACTTTTTATATCTCAAAGTTTGAAAGAAACTATTCGTTTGAGGTAAAACCTTTTTTTAACAGTAAACTTGAGATTCATAAAATATCTTCTAAGTTTTCAAATTAAGTTTCGAAGAAACGTTTCGAAAACCTTGGGCTTAGCAATACAACCATGTCACGCCCCGCGACCTAATTAGCACGTATCTACGATGACACACATCACTCCAACGATGACTCATTGGAATGATATGCTAAACCTTAACTATTCTTTTTGAAACAAGTAACATTTTTTAAAAGTAGGCCAAATAATTTATTTGCAGAATATTAAAAAAAACTTGAAAATATTTGATTTACTCGTTTACCTATTTTTAATTGTATTCTTGTCAAATCACTACTCCGCAATGCATCTTTCACAAGGAGAAGGGAAAGACATAGTAGATCGTTAGACGGTTCCAACAAGTACCCAAGTACCGTCAAAAGAATAGAATATAAAGGACATACTTGTAGATTAAATGATAATGTTAATAATCCACATAAAAATCAAATGACAAAGGATGATAGCTCAAATAGATGGTGAAAATAAACAAATAGATAATTGTGCTCGAACGATGGTGATGGGAATATTAAGATGCAAGAAGTGTATGCGTAAGTTTTTAAGGGTATTTATACATAAAATATGTTTTACCCTGCATATACATTTTGGGATATTTGTATCTAAAGATGTATTTACATAATATAAGATGTGATGGGTTTACATTTTTTTTAAACTGAACCTATATATATTGATAGATAGACAAACTTACATCAGGAGCTCGTATGAGAGGGCGACAAAAAAGTGAGACATATCCCACTTGTACAAAAATCAAACTATGAGATGAAATTATATTAGCTCCTGAAGATACAAAAGCAAAAACAAAGGAAGAAATTTCTACTAGTGGCGTCAACAATATGTAAATCCCATTTGGTCCAGCCACAACAAATGTTGAATGGGTCTGGGTAAGTCCGATTTATCAATGAAGTAATGGATGCATAGTAGAGAGTGACCAAGCTTCGACAGGGCATCAGCCACTTGATTTGCTTCTCTGACACGGTGATGCACAAGAACTCCCCGAAGATGTCGATGCATGTTTTGCCAAGGACGAATGAGCTTCCAATGAGGGTACGT